GCCGCCGCCGCCGCCGCTAGCATTTCCGGGGAAAAGTCAGCTGAGAGGCGGCGGAGAAGCGGAGGGAGAAGCGGCGGCGGCGGCTAACAATAGGACCGTGCCTTACCGTGGAGGAGGAGGAGGAGGAGAAGAAGAAGAAGGAGGAGGTGCAGGAGGAGGAGGAGGAGGCCGGCGGTGGTGGTAGTAGTAAATCCAAGAGCTAAACGCGGGGGTTTGGGACGCGGCTCGCCGGCTAGCTCAGCAGTATCTCACCCCTGGCCGCTCGCGCTGCTCCTAGCTTTGTGTTCCCTTTAAATGGCAGGGGCTGCCTCTCGCTCTCTCCCCCCCCCTCCTCCCTCCCTCCTCGCAACACAAACACACACACACACACACACACACGCACAGGGAGCAGACCGAGCCAGCACACACACACACACACATACACACAAACCCAGGGACCCCTAACAACGTGACACTGTTGTCAGTTGCTGTAATATTTCCCCATGCAACTCATGCAAAAAAACAAAAAAAACCCAAATAGAAATCCCCTCTTTGTCTCTCTTTCTCTCCCTTCTCATCCGAAAACAGAAAGTGGGGAGCTGTGGATATTCATCTGCTCGACCCTCTCTCTCTCTCTATTTCTTTCTTTCTTTCTCTCTGTCTCTCTCTCCCTCCCTCCTCCTCCCTCTTTCTCTCACCCTCTCTATCTCGCGCATGTACACTATTTTTTCTGTCTCGCTTTTTTTCCACTCAGTAGTCAAACAAAGAAAGGAAAGGCACAGAACGAGAACACACACACACACACACACACACAATTTCTCTCTCTCTCTCTCTCTGCTGCTGCTTTCTCTCCCTCACACACACACAGACATACACACACGTGTGCACATACACACACACACACACACACACACACACACACACACACAGGCTCGGAGCCCAACCCCCCAGCCAGCCTCTCTGATTTTTTTTCCCTGCCTTTTCTCTAAACAGCACCTCCCCCCCCCCCCACACACACACACACCCCCTCTCTTCCACACCACCCTCCCTCCCTCTATCCTCTGGCCTCGTTCTCATTCGCCTCCCCCCTCCTCCCCTCCTCTCTCTCTCTCCTCTCTCTCTCTCTCTCTCTCTCTCTCTCCTCTCTCTCTCTCTCTCCTCTCTCTCTCTCTCTCTCCTTAGCTCCCCATCACACTGCCTATGTCTCTCTCTCTGTCAACCAGATGGAATTGAAGATCAGAAGGTATATATTCCCTCATCTCCCTCTTACTTTCTCTCTCTCTCTCTCTCTCTCTCTATACATTCTCTAGGTCTCCCTATGGCTTCTCGTAGCAGCAGCAGCAGGGTTGCGTAGCGCGCTAACACGCCGTGACCTATGCTAAACCCGCGACACCCGGACCAAAAGCCGGGGACGTCGGTAACCTTCAACCGTGGCAAACGACGCCGACATGCAAATGGGGTGATGAGCTGATTCCATTGTCAGTCAGAAAGTTGCGCTGTTAGGGCCGAGTGTCGCGTGCGCGCTTTGATGCGGGGCGCACACACACGCCGCGCGCGCACACACACACACACACACGTTTTACAACCCAGATGTGAACTGGGCCAAATGTGTCTCACACCAGCAGATGTGTGAATTTTAAAGTAAGAGGGGTAACACACACACACACAACACACACTATGTGTGAAGAAGACAATGAGTCAATTAAGGTAATTCTTTAGAAGTATGCATTTCAGGACTGGTACACACAGCGCTGAAGGGCCTGTGCGCCAACATCCCCCTCTACTTTTATACAGAAATATACAAAACAAAATCTACCTGTCATGTTTAGAGGTTTTTAAAAAAAACAGTTTTTTCCAATCACAACATCAAAACGCATTTGTTTACAATCACACAAGAATACACCTAACAAAACCTGCAGAACCTACACAACGCTCTCATTCAAGTCAGCAGCACACAGACACGCGCACGTGCATGCGCACGCACACACACACACACACACACACACACACACACACACGGTGCATGTGCTCCTGGTGCCAGCCACGTGCTGGGAGCTGGAATTCCATAGCGGAGAAAAAGTGCAGGAAGAAAGAGAAGGGGAGAGAGAGGAAGAGAGAGGGGAGGGGAGGGAGGGGGACATGGAGAGAGAGAGAGAGAGAGAGAGGGTGAGGGTGAGAGAGGTTGAGAGACGGAGGGAGAGAGAGAAAGAGAGAGGGTAGCGGAGAGAGAGAGAGAGAGAGAGAGGTAGAGAGAGAGAGAGAGAGAGAGAGAGAGAGAGAGAGAGAGACAGAGAGGTAGAGAGGTAGCGGAAGAGAGAGAGAGAGAGGTAGAGGTAGAGAGGTAGCTGAAGAGAGACAGAGAGAGAGAGAGAGAGAGAGAGAGAGTGCAGTGTGTGTGTGTGTGTGTGTTGGATGCTCTCTGTGACCAGGGGCACAGTGTGTAGATAATGTAGGCACAGTCATGTTTCTGCACTCAATGACTCCTATAGATTTCCCTGCATGGCTCCTCCTGCTCTCTCTCTCCTTTCACCCTATACATCTCTCTCGTCCTGCTTTCTTTATATACATCTCCCTCGCCCTCTCTCCGCTTTCCTTCTGTCCTCCTGTTCTCTCTCTCTGCTTTAACTCCCTCTCTCTCTCTCTCTCTGCTTTCTTTCTGTCCTCCTGCCCTCTCTCTCTCTCTGCCTGTATATTTCCTGTCCTCCTTTCTTTATATATCTCTATCTCTGTCGAGCTCTCTATTCCTGCTTTCTTTCTACCATCATCTCTCTCTCTCCCTCACCTTCTCCCTCTCTGCTCTCTCTCTCTCTCTCTCTCTCTCTCTCTCTCTCTCTCTCTCTCTCTGCTTTCACCCTACCTCCCTCTCATGCATGATTATATTACATTACCCTGCACTCATTGTGTATCACAAGAGGGGTCTGTGTGTGTGTGTGTGTGTGTGTGTGTGTGGGTCCGGTGTGTGTATCCGGTGTGCGTGCACATGTGTGTGTGTGTTGTAAGCCTGTTTGCAACATGAGTGTGTTCTGTTATTCAACACTTAATGTCCACCGTGCTCGGTATATCGATCCCACAGAGCCGGTGAAGTGGGCCACAGCCCCACAGCCCCACTGCTCCGCCGGCTCCCCGGCGGGTTAGCCAGCCGTGCCATAACTAGCATTACCTCAAACTGGCGCTCAACGAGGTCACTGTTACACCCTAGTGTTACACCCTAGTGTTACACCCTCGTTTTCCAAGCACGTTCCGGACAAAACTAGCTCTATGAGAGTGCTCAAATATGTAAATGTGTGTTTATTTTAGCCGATTTTAGCCTTGTGTTTCCTGGGAGATAGGGCGGGGGGTGGATTTCTTTTTTTGATTGTGTCTCGAGTACGTTTATGTATTTATCTTGTAAAATGAAAACTTCTAAAATAAAACATTTTTAAAAAACGGTATATATAATCAGTGATGGGCAGTAGCGTCGCTACTTGTAGCGACGCTACTAGCTTAACTACATTTGTCAGTAGCTGGTCGGTAACGTCGCTATTTACAAAACCAAGTAACTTTTCAGTAGCTAAGCTCTTTTATTGATCAAGTAGCGCGGTAGCGTCCTCGCAAGCTACTTTCTCCTGGACATTTCTGATGTTCATACAACAGCGTTTCCTTGCAGCCATCAACACACACAAGAAGAAGACGTTTGAAGATGTTTGTGTGTCCACGACAACAAGCCGGGTAAAGCGCATGCGTAGGCTTTGGTGACGACACGCACGCACACACACACACACACACACACACACACGCATACACACACTCACCTCACACCAACTCTTCTTTAGAATACTTTTTTTTCACTTTACTGTTTGGAGCTATTGCAATTTTCATCAATCTCTGTGACTTAGTTATGGATAATAAGGCTGTATGATGGTAGTGGTAGTCACAATTGTTTTCCTAAACAGAGACAGTTCTTAGCAAAGTTAATTGGTAAACTCATGCCATGTTTTTTATTTACTTACTGTATTTATTTTATTTACAATTTCAGAGGGCATTCTTGCTTAAATAGAGCAGTTAATTTGCTCTGATTCACATTTGTTATGTGTCTATTGGGCTGTTGTTAAATAACAGTTCTTAGATGTTAATTTGTAAACTAAACTCGTGCCTTTGTCCTATCCAGGGTCATTGCTATCATTTTTCCTTACCTTATTTATTTTATTTACAATTTCAAAACGCACTCATGTAACTAGAGCTAAAAATGTGTTCTGATTTGTCTTTGTGTTTTGGGCTATTGTTCAATAAATATCTAAACATATTTTAGCCTTTACCTGACTGATAACTTTATCTGTTGATCACTGAAATTGCATTGATTTAGCATGCAGTTTGTTTAATAGAAAGTAGCTATAATGTAGCAAGCTACTTTTGACAGATTTTTGTAACTTAGCTTGCTACATTTTTATGGGTGGTAGCTTCTGTGTAGTGAAGCTGAATTTATTGGAGAGTAGCTGGTAGCTTAGCTCACTACACATATCAAGTAGCTTGCCCATCACTGTATATAATTGAATCGATCGGAAATACCATGCGGCCATAAGACATAGCATCGCTAGCGGACGTGATTCTGTTGCTAGGCGACGACGAGCCACCATGACCCGAGCGTGTTCTCGGTTTTTCCTGGCGTAGCTAGCTACGATGGTTAGCATGCTACGCACAGAGATATCCGAACCCGGGCTGTTGACCGCCTAACCATTACAACAGTGACGTTTCAACATTTTTCAACCGGCATTCCTTGTTATTTTGATTTTAGATTCTCAAATTCTCCTCTCTCGTGAATTCAGCCAAGCCTTTCCGCCAAATGCCGACACTGTTAGCCCCTGTCGCCATGGAAACGGCACAAGATTTCCTCGTTGGATTTCCTGTCTTGAGTTAGTGTTCCTGTTAGTTGTCCTTCTGTGGCGCTACTCTCTCTTCTCCCCCGCGTAAAGACATGAAGAATATGATACAGTATATCTCTATGGCGGACGCTTTTTATCCAATGCGTACGTTCTTAGCATGGGTGGTCGCGGTGGGAATCGAACCCTTAACCCTGGCAGTGTGAATGTCGTGCTCGACCAATGGCGCTACACAGGACCAATACATGGTGGACGAGACTAACTGCATTTAGCTTAAAAGCCCCTGAGCAACTGTATAACCAACATAACAAGATTTCCAGCAAAATGTAAGCATAAGTGACACACATTCCCTTCCACAGAGAGTGTGCCCTGAACAAATACATGTTCTCCCCTAAAGAAACCCTGTGTGGGTCACATGACTGACATTTATAATCGTGTTAAGCTTTGGATATGATCTGTGCGTTGTGGGCACACCAGGAAGTGGAAGCCAGTTAAACAACTGTGATTGGCTGAACGCAAATCACGCTCCCCTTACACACGATCCATCCATCTTCCCCCTGTCAATAAACTTAATAATCTGCACGCGTGTGTGTGTGTGTGTGTGTGTGTGTGTGTATGAGCATGTATGTGTGCGTTACCTCTGTTACATGTCAAGCACGTTTCCACTGCCTGAAGCCATCTCTCTATTGGCTATTGCAGTAAAGAACGACATGATTTCTTAGAAACCGGCAATAAAACGCATTATTAAATTAACATTGTTTAACAATGTTCATCTATAGGAAAAAATAGGATAAGTGAGCGAGAGAGAGAGAGAGAGAGAGAGAGAGAGAGATGTGCCATCAATACATAACAGAGAGAGGGGAGGCAGTTTGTTACGGTGGCGTGTTGCGTAATTCTCTCATTGAAATTGATTAATGGCTGTGCACATTTGGCTCCCGGCCAACGAGTTCAGCACATTTGTAATATTTTTAGTCAGGTTCCAGGTGAAGACGGAGACAGAGAGAGAGAGAGAGAGAGAGAGACAGAGAGACAGAGAGAGAGAGAGGAACATACATAGGAGGAGTAGTGGTGACAGATAACTGTGCGTTCACACCAAAAGCGCACAAAGAGGAATCCTCCTTGTCCACTCCACCTAAGTCGCTTTTGCCACCCTTCAGAATGTTCGTTCTTGCTTTTTTTTTAATTTAAAGGGCCAGCACGCCACACGCGCTAAACACCACCACGCAACTACTGCTGTAGCACAGCCCATTTACCGACATCGTTGATCACGGAAAGTTACTTGATAAAGTCATTAAAAACAGAATTACTCCGATTGGCTGGAGAGTGTAGGTTAAAAAGTGTTTATTTACACCATCTTTTACACAAGACGTTGACGCTATGAAGACGCTATGGCCACGTTGCTTGGCAACGCCTGCATACGGGAGATATTAAATAGTCTGCTTGACTTGTAAAAATAAAAAAAACCTCACGATTTCAACATACATATTTTATTTCATTCTTTCGTAAGTGACCATGGTACTTCGCGGAAGCAACCGTCCGACGCGAACGCCTCCGCGTCGTCCATTCATTTCTGTTAATGGACACCTCGTCGGGTTACTCCCCAATCTTATTTACGGAAATGATCATCCCAAATAAACACCGATTTTGCCAAATGTAATGTTGTCAAATCATAGAGGACATCATAGAGGTGTTCTGCTACGGCGGCGATCAGCATTTCCAGCGACATCTTGGAACGAATGTTTGGTAGGAACTAAGTTACGCGGGTTGTTTTCTGGGACAGATCTGACCGAGGGACGACGGCAGAACGAGACATCCCCATTGGCTATCATGGATTTTCCACCTTTCCCTCCTAGTCGCGTCATAGCTCATTTACATAAAGTTGGAGGATTTTTAACTTTTTTTATCCTCCTAAGTCGCCTAGTCCACCCGAGTCCGCCTATTCCTCTTTTCCCTCTTTGTCCGCCTGGCGCCCAATACACAATGAATGACTTCCGGGATCATTTTCCTCTTTGTGCGCTTTTGGTGTGAACGCACAGTAAGATATTTGGGGCCGGTCCAAGATGACATATTTCCAAGGATAGAGTCATAGAGACAGTCAGGCATAGTCAGTGGCAGAGAGAGCAATAGAGTCAGAGATAGAGAGTCAGTGATAGAGAGAGCAATAAAGTCAGTGATAGAGATAACAAGAGTCAGTGATAGAGAGATTCAGTGATAGAGAGAGAGTCAGTGATAGAGAGAGCAATAGATTCAACGATAGAGAGAGTCAGGGATAGAGAGAGTCAGGGATAGAGAGAGTCAGTGATAGAGAGAGCAATAGATTCAGCGACAGAGAGAGAGTCAGGGATAGAGAGAGTCAGTGATAGAGAGCAATAGATTCAGCGATAGAGAGAGAGTCAGGGATATAGAGAGTCAGTGATAGAGAGAGTCAGTGATAGAGAGAGCAATAGATTCAGCGATAGAGAGAGAGTCAGGGATAGAGAGAGAGGGGGGAGCTATAGGAAGAGCAACAGAGAGAAACAAAGTGTTTAAGAGAGCGTTTAATTGAGCGATTATACGAACGGCAGAGGGAACAAACACGATGCTGCGCAGAGAACAGAGGGATGGGAGGGAGAGAGAGAGAGAGAGATTGAAAAGAGAGAGAGCGAGAGAAAGAGAGAGAGAGGGG